GCCTTATGCGCGTTGGTTCACCTTTCTAATTCCACCATGGACAGTCTATACTTTTTTGTTTATGGCGACGCCAACATGGCCGCGATCCTGCAAATACGAAAACAAAGTAAAGTTACTTCGAAGTAAAGATTAATTAATATTTTGAATAACAATGATAAAAGTAGTTATTTGTGGTAATAAGTAATATTCATTGTTTATAAAAGAAAATTTAATGATATGTGAAAGTATTTCTTAGAACGTTTGAATAGCGTAATCTAATAATAATAATAGCGTAAATCTCTTTGACTTGTTACGTTCTTAACGTAAGTACGTAATAATTATGTATAATAACGTAAATTAAAGCGAATATAAATGTAATATAATGTTCCTATAATTTATATGATACGCAGGTTAATGATGAGTTTCAATAAAAGAAAGACATTTGCGTCGGACATGTCTGATGAAGATGATAGTTTCAATTATCGACGTAGTTCTCTGAGAGTCAATTTGAGTTACAGCGAGAATTTAACAGATTCTGGCAATGGATCTCTCCGGAGAACAGAGATTGAAAATGACGAAAGAAGAGTGGATACGGCGCGAACTACCAAAAGATTGTCAAGAAAGAAAAGTACGTATGAGAAGAATCGCCAATCTGATTTTGACAACAAAGATATGCGAGCCATGAACGGTACAGATAAGTGTGCTGTAGATAAAAACAGTGATAATTCCATTCGAATCAAGAAAGGAATACAGCTGAAACGTCTTACAATAAATCTGGAAGACGTAAGTACCAAAGAACGCTACCTCGAAACAAATTGCAACCGTTTGAAGGATGCAATCTTAACTAAAACTCAACAGATATTTGACAGAGATAACGAGCTCTCCGTGAAAATTACAAAGGTATTGAGAAATAAGGAAAATTGTTTTGCAAGCAGTATTCATAATCCAAACACTGGAAACGAAACAGTCATGCTGGACATGACTGATCTGAAAGAGAAGGCAGCCAAGGAACATCAACAATATACTCACAATATGAACGATCAACAAAGAGAGGATCAACACTTCAATATTGTTACTACACCAACGAATAATGATGGATGGAGAAGTCTTGAGAGAAGTATAGATAAATCTAAATTAACTCAAAGACGATTGTTTGTTGAGGATAAGCAGGTAGAAGAGCAAACAAAATGTAGAATTATTGAAAATGTTGTTCTGAAGAAAAACTTTCCATTATTTTCTCTAAGACAAGCAACTCAAAGCGGTAGTCCTATATTAAGCGGCAGTAACAAAAGACTTAGTTTGGTCAAGGGATCTAAGTTGCATTCCCAAAATAATGAAAACCTGAACAATACATTCTCGACCGTATATTCCGTTCAGAATTTCGATACACCTGTTGTTTGCTCTACTTTCATCGAGGATAATGCAACAGGTGAAAAAGGAATTAACAATGATGTGGAGGCATCTGGTGCCACACATACAATGACTAAAGTAATGTCAATGGAGATGACAGAAGTTCATGGAGGCATTCATACGAGCGAAAAACGCATATCTGTACAAAACAGGAATTCATATATGAATAACTATAACGAAAATAGTAAGGAAGAGAAAAATAAAAAAGAAAGTATAGAGCGAAATAAAACAGGAATTAGTTCGAGACTAGAAGATGCTGGACATTTTGTAAACAAAATTACTGGAAGTGAAATACTGCAAGCACATGAGCACGACAGTAAAGCTAAATTTCAAAATGAAAAATGCTGTACGATGTCTCTGTCTAATAGCAATAACATGATTCGATCATCTTTAAATGTAAATACTTCATTGGATGCAGTGACTGAAGCTACCAAAGTAAGGAACATTCAGAAACCAAGAAATCACAGAACAGACAATACCAATCAAAATTTCCAAGCTATTAATAATAAAGAATCAGTAGTTTTGAATGACCAACGCGAAAGCACAAATACGAATCGAACTTCGTTGCAAATGAATACATCGATAGATTCTATGTGCAAAACACGGCGAAGAAGAAGCAGCGATAAGAGTGATAAAGATCATTCTAGTATGGATACGGAATGTTCATCAACTGGAAATAAAGAAATGAATGATATAGACTCTTTAGAAAACATCAGTTTAATTGAGAGATTAAGAAATGTCTCTATGAGAAATAAGATTTCTCACAAAGATAAATCAAAAGTTTCTACAATGAAGAATGAGGACAAAAGACGCTCAAGTAACAGTGGAGATAATTATGTGGAGGGAACTCCATATCCGATAAGCCGCTCGGTTTTGTTCAGATCACAATTAAAATATAAAACGCAACATTTGGATGATACAGTCACATGTGGCAGCAATTTAAATTCATTAGAAAATGAAGAGAAAGATGATAAAACTGAGTCATTTGCTTTGTAAGTATATAAATGTACATACAAATCATGTTAAACATATTATACTTTGAAATATTATTACTATACGATTTACATAGTGTTATTTAATAAATTAATACTATTATTAATTAATATTTTTTATGTTGTTAGGCATTCAAAAGTTTCAAATGAAATGCATATGTCGATTGAAATGCAAAAAACAACAGAA